ATAATCAAAAGGAGAAAATATATGAAAAGAAAATCTATAACTCTTATGGAGAAAACTGCAATTTTAGATCAATTAAAGAATGGAGAGAAAGTGTTTTCTGTTGCAAAATCGTTAAATTTGAATGAATCTACAATTCGGACTTTAAAGAAAAATGAAGAAAAAATAAGAAAAACTGTCGCAAATAGTTGCCTATCAGGTGCGAAGCGTGCAACTCGTATACGTAATGCTATTATGATAAAAATGGAACGAGCATTAATGATATGGTTAGAAGACTCTCTAAAAAGATACCTGTGTGTGGAAATCTTATTAAGCGTAAAGCACTTAAAATTTATGAGCATTTTAAAGGAATAGACAACTTTTCTCTCCAGCAACACAATCACTCATTTACTGCAAGTGCAGGATGGCTTGACAAGCTAAAAAAAGGTATTCCTTGCACAATATTAAATTTCAAGGAGAGCAGGCTTCAGCCGATGTCAAAGCAGCCGAAAAATTTAAAACGGACCTCCCAGAAATTATCGATAAAGAGGGATATGTAGCAGATCAGATTTTTAATGCGGACGAGACAGGATTGTATTGGAAGAAACTTCCTTCTCGAACCTATTTTTCAATAAATGAAAAGAAAGCATCTGGGTTTAAATCTTCTAAACAACGTATAACCATACACATATGTAGCAATTTATCAGGAAGTTTATTAGTAAAACCAATGATCATAAATAATTTTTTAAATCCTCGAGCTTTCAAAAATGTTAATATGTCTGAGTTACCTGTATTTTGGCGAGCGAATAAAAAAGCGTGGATGACTCGAGAATTATTTAAGGATTGGTTTTATAACTGTTTTGTCCCTCAAGTAGAAAGCTTTATGGTTGAAAAAAATCTTTTTCAAATCAGTTTCAGAGTTTTGTTAATCCTTGATAACGCCAGTAGTCATAGTGCAGAGATAAATCACCCAAATGTGAAAGTTCTTTATTTTCCTCCCAACTACACTTCATTAATACAGCCCTTGGACCAAGGAATCATCCAAACTTTCAAAATGTATTACATACAAATTTTTTTTGAAGTTATTTTCAGCATATTAGAAGATCAAGAATGGAAAACTCTACTTGAAGTTTGGAAAAAATTTTCTATTTTAGACTGCACTCGAATTGTTTCATTAGCTTGTACAGAAATTAAACAATCAACACTTAATGCATGTTGGAGGCCTTTGTTACCTCAAATAGTTAAAAAAGAAGATAATATCTCAGAGACAGTAAAAGAAATAACACGGATTGTTTCTAGTTTTGGCAAGGAAGGATTTGCAGATATACAAGTGCAAGATATAGAACAACTACTTCAAGAACGAAGTTTAAATGAAGAAGAATTAGCAGAGTTAATTGATGAGTCTACATCTGAAACATTTGTGGAAGAAGACACTAATAACAAATCTGCTTTAAACTTCACTTATGATTTAAAAAAAGGGCTCGATTTGGCTAAAGAATTAGAATTCCAGTTGACCCAAAATGATCCTTCAACAATACGCAGTGAAAAATTTAAAAGAGAATTTCAAAATTGCTTAGCTCCATACAAAGAGGTTTTGAAAGAACTACAAAATAAAACTACTTTTGAAAACCAAGGAGAAAATTTTCAAAGTGAAGAGGATTATCAACTAATTAGAGGAAAGAAAAGAAGACGGGTTGGACATCTAATATTTGACAGCGATGACGAATAAGAACAGAATTTACAATGCATCATTTTAGTTTTTTGTTGGAAACAATTTTTTTTTAAGTTCAGTTTTTAATTTCTAATTTAAATAACTTACCATATACAATAAAATTAGACTAAAGTAAATTTATTAGTGCATAATTTATTTATTCCAAAAAAAAACAAAAAAAAATTATTTATTTCTAGGATTCTATACAACGCGGTACAAATCGATTCAATTTATATTACTTCTATGTTTCTTATAACGCGGTTTCTATATAACACGACAGAGATTTCCATATAACGCAATTAAGGTTATATATTAAAAAATATATATTTTGATAATTTGTGTGTTCCTCATAACGTGGTCTTCAAAAAATGCATCTGCCAAATCGAGTTCTTATAACACGGTTCCCATACAAAGCAGTACGAATTCATCGCGTTATAGGAGAGTTGACTGTATGCTGATAAGTTAAAATATGTCAATAAATTGTTGTCAAGTTAAATAAATCAATATGCTGTTAATAAATATGTTGATAACTTGAAATTTGGAAGGTAAAAACTTAAAACAAGTATTAAAAACCTAATAGCATAAGCATTGGATATAGATAAAGAAGATAAAGGAGAATGAACAAAAATAAACTGCATTATTTATGATGATGATGATTTTAGATACAAAATAAAGAAAAAGGAAAAATGAAAGAAAAAAAGTTTGAAGAAAAAAAAAGGTTAAATAACTTTTTACATTAACTTCTGAATGTTAATCAATTGAAAAAACTTGCATAACATTTTGAGTTTCATAGCATTTTGTTAAGAAAGCCCAAAAATTGAAAGACGAAGTTACTATGATTATTGTAAAGACTTAATAAACCTGAGATTAAAAAAATATTATTTTGATAACTTTCTGTTGTTAAACAGAAAGTTATCAAAATCTATGAACCGAAGAGTTCACAAGACAATGTCAAGAAAAAAAAGATATGTTTTCTCTGTGCATAAACAATGTAAAGAAAATAAACAAAAATATTTAAAGGAACTTTTTAAAAGAATTTGTGCTCTAAAAGAAAAGTTGGGCATGGTAAGTTTTATGAACTAAAGCTGAAGTTGTGATCACATCTGAATGTAGCAGAAGCCACCTGGTATATTCTTACATACACAAACCAGTTTAAAGTGCTTAGTTAATATGTACTGTCAAAATTCTGAGTTAATGTGTGCTGCTCTACCTATAGGTTGTTGTGCTTTTAATATAGATAGTTGAAGCTGCGTACTCAGTTTATGTTCCAACTGACCTGGTAAAGTAAATTTGAAAATCTACTCGGAAAATGTGTTTGAAAAAAATAATTTTAATGATGAGATCACATACAAACAATGGTAAACTAACTGTACTTAAAAGTTCAAACAAGCATCATTAAATTCCTTGAAACTTTAAGTGAAATTTTGCATAATCTTTGTCACCATCACTTTATCATAGAAGTCCTCCTACTTTAAATCCACCTACTTAATTATGACTACTATTGCAAAAATCTGTGATCAAACTTACTATTGTAAAAAACTGTGATCAAACTTACTATTGTAAAAATCTGTGATCAAACAGCAGTTCAATATTTTTTGCTAAATTACTCGCTGTGGTTAAAATCAAACTATCTGCAATAAAATGAAATATTTAAGTGATGGTGCAGCGTCACGGTACAAAAGTTGAAAATATCTTACAAACCATCATTTAAAAAATCACAAAGCGCTGAACATCACTTCTTTACAAAAACCCTAGTCCATGACCTGACCCAAAGTCCATGAGATGAAGTAGTAGAAAGAAGCTAATTTATTAGTAGCAATTATAAATCAGATTCTCACACCACATGATCTGTTTAAATAGACAGGAAAAAAAAGAAAGCACAATATATTCTATCTTTCAATTGATGATATCAATAACCATAAATTTTTTTTAACATTCAGATATTATACGAAAAGAGGCAAATAGTCCATGGCACAAGAAGCTATCACTGTTTTATACCAGATAAAGAGAAGTTGTTTTTATGAAGAATTTATGAAACTGTCTATGATACTCATAAGCTGAAAAAACTTCACAAAATAAGACCTATTAAATTTTCAACTCAGTTGATGAATGGTGCATAAGGGTTGTGCTTGAGATTAGTAGTGAAAATTAAAATGTTAATAAAAACATCATGCATAGAAACAAATTAAATTTGAAATAGACTTATGTTGGGTTCTATTTGACAAAGTAATGTGTAAAATAAGTGTTCCATCCAGTTAAGGTAAAATTGCTCCATCCAATAAAAGTAAAAGTGCTAATAAAATTAGAGATGAAGAGTCTAGTTTATTTGTGTTTCATGTGTATATACACCTTCTGCTGATTTTTCTACTTTTTATATTCACTTTTTTGTAGTATAAAAGTTTACTAAAAAAATGTTATTTTTTAATTCTATTTTTAAACTACTCAAAGAGCTGCAATGGTGTCACAAGATAGATTATAGGTTTTTTTTTTATTTTGGTGATTGTCTATTTTAAGAACTGCTTTTGTTATTTTCTATGCTTGGAAAGAATTTGTAGTTTATTTTATTAAAAAAAAGTTGGTATGTAGCAGTTAGCTGTAACTGATTAACTTTTAAATTTTTAATTTTACCATAAGTACACAAAATTACCTTAAGTACACAGTTACCTTAAGTACACAAAAATTTACCACTGGCTATCAGTAGGAACTAAAGCAACTTAACTTGAAGTAAATTAACTTGAAAGTTTTATGCAATCATTCAAAAAAAAAAAAAGCTTTTAAATTATTTAGGTAAAAAACTAATTTTACGAGTTAAAGTTACGATCTTTTAAAAAATAAAAATCTACTGTAAGCTTTAGATACTAAAGTTTTATTAGACTTTGTCAATCATAACTTTTTTAAAGACTGGTCAATCAAGTTAAAATTTCCAAGATTATTTTTTTTACATAAAATCTGTGAGTGGTCAAAGTTTGATGCAAATTTGGGTGGTATCCATGGGTATTTTAGGCGATTTGATTTATATATATATATATATATATATATATATATATATATATATATATATATATATATATATATATATATATATATATATATATATATATATATATATACACACACATTATGTATGATTATACATTATTTTAGTATAATATTATTTAAAATTTTACAGGTTTTTCTTTTCTACTTGTCAAGTTATATCTACATTCATAAGTTATATCTAAATTCACAAATTGTTTTTTTTAGTATTTTAGAGTTTTAGTATTTTAGAGTATTTTAGATGATTATTCAAAGTTGGTTTAAAATAATAATTTAGAATTTGGTTTGGCAATCTTCTCCTATGTATAAGTATGTGAAGGACAAGTTTGTATTTCCTGCATCACTGAACAATACTTTGTTTTTGGAGCAATACACATTATTGCTTAATGCAATTAAGGTTTCCCAGGTAACTTTAATATAATACTTGTAATGATTTAGGTATTACTGAAATCTAAACCTAGTTAAATATTTTTTAAACTTAGTCTAGATTTGGTTCTGTATTTATTAATATGATTTCCAGTTTTAAATATACTTGTTTTTACATCAAACATTTACCTATGTTGGATCTCAGCTCATCTTCTTTATTAGATAAGATAGAGATTTATTAGATTAAATAAGTATAACTCAAATCAACTTCTACAAGTGTTTTTTTTTAAAGCTAACAACTAATAAAAATGGAAAATTTATTTGTAGAAAAATGATTTAATGAGAATAGTATTTAAATATACTTCATAGTTGTAATGACTCGTTAATTTTAATTAATGCCTCATTAACTCATTAATCAAGCATTAATTACAATTTTTTAATTTAGAAAAATACTCAAAATGCTGTTCAAAGATTTTTGACAAATTTGAATTTTAATGTTTGTTTTTTTTCACTTCTGCTTCTGCAGTTTTTTTTACTCAGACTTTTTTTACAGCTTGTGATCTAAGACTCTTCCTTTCATTCCTTTCATTCCTTTTATTTCTTTTATTTCTTTTTAAAAGGTCATGTGATTTTTCTGGTGCGTACAACTGTCATCATTTTTTTTTTTTTGAGTTTTAAATTAATAAACTCCTAATATTTATAAAAAAATATTTTTCTGTCAATAAATGAAGATCAATGACATCCATGACAAATTTTTTTTCTGAAAAATTGCTTGATATAGCTATAGAGATTTTATCTCTCATTAAATTTTGAGATGAGGCCACAGCTCTTGAGATGAGGCCACAGCTCTAGAGATGAAGCCACAGCTCTAGAGATGAGGCCACAGCTCTTGAGATGAGGTCACAGCTCTAGAGATGAGGCCACAGCTCTAGAGATGAGGCCACAGCTCTAGAGATGAAGCCACAGCTATTGAGATGAGGCTACAGCTCTAGAGATGAGGCCACAGCTCTAGAGATGAGGCCACAGCTGTTGAGATAAGGCCACAGCTCTAGAGATGAGGCCACAGCTCTAGAGATGAAGCCACAGCTCTTGAGATGAGGCCACAGCTCTTGAGATGAGGCCACAGCTCTAGAGATGAAGCCACAGCTCTTGAGATGAGGCCACAGCTCTAATGGCGAGTTTCCACTCATCCGTTTTTCAACGGGAACGGGATAGGAAAAAAAAAATTATTACGTGAGCATGCGTAATAAAAGTATTTATTTGTCCGAAAGAAAACTGCGCATGCTCGCGTGATTATTTTTCCGTTCCTTTTCCCTTTCCCGTAGAAAAACGGATGAGTGGAAACTCACCTTAAAGATGAGGCCACAGCTCTAAAGATGAGGCCACAGCTCTAGAGATGAGGCCACAGCTCTAGAGATGAGGCCACAGCTCTAGAGATATTAACTGTGGATACTTGAAAGGTTTTTAACAAAGTCTGAATTCCTGGTTTTATTATTATTATTATTATTTTTATTATTATGATAAAAAATATTCAATTTTTTCTACTACTTGCATTATTAAAGTTATTTTTGGTAAACAATATTTTTGGTTTCATCCTAGCTATTCTCTTTATGTTTCATAAAGAGAATATATTAATTCTTTATTCACTAAAAAAATAAACAATTTTGTTATTAGTTAATAATACTGTCATTTTTTTTAGGAAATTAGTGCAATGTATAAAGGAACTGGTGAACGAACAATTGAACAATCTGCAAATTTAGTTGGACTAAAATTACCAAAACTATATGTAGATCCGATTAAAACTAGTTAAATTCCTCTGTTTTTCAATTATGTTTTAATTGTTTAATTTTTTTAAACAATGAAATTAAAATTGAGATAAAATTTTTGAAATGAAATTTTTTTTGAGAGATTTGTTTATTTTCTTAGGCTAGTTATTTTTATTTACATACATAGTTATTTTAATTACATTAAATTTTTGTATATATTTATTGCTTACTACTTTAATTTACTACTCTTAAATATGTTAGGGTTTAAGTTTAAAAAAAAAAAAATAAAGATAAAATGATATATTTGCCAAAATAAATTTAAAGTTGCATATATGATGTTTTTTGAGTCAATCAAAATGATATGCAAAAAAAAAAAAAACAGTTTAAAAATTTTCTTCTGCAAAATTTCGCATCTAAATAAAAAAGATAATCCAGAACATTAACAAAAATAAATTAAAAGAATTTAGATTATAAAATTATTTTATTAAATTATATCTATAAATTTTAATTAAAATAGTATATATTTTTAGTAATTAAAAAAGTATTAATTCTTAATATGGCATCCTCATTTAATGAAGAAGAAGCACCTCAAAAGCTAACCGAATTATTTACTATTGGGTGGAAATTATTTCAAAATATAGAAAATAGTGAAGAAGATACATTAGCTTTGCAAGTGAGTTTAATATTTAAATTAATAGATATAAAAACGATAACAAAAATAACAACAATAATAATAATGATAATAATAATAATAATAATAATAATAATAATAGCAATAATAATAATAACAAAAATACTAATAACAACATTATTAATAACAATTGTATTATACATTTTATTTATAATTAATATTGATGCAAGTGTATTTTCCAGTTAGTTTTTTAATTGAATAATAGTTTAAGTTATTTATTGTACTGCATACCTTGAATATATTATTACAAACATTCAAATTTATATACAAAAGCAGTCAATAAGTATAGAATGCATGGTAAATAAATTATTGTACACAGTTGGTTAATCAAAGTACCTTTTACAATTATAATGTTTAGAAGATGTAAATGTTCAGTTATGATAAATAATATAATAAATAATTGTTACATTAAGTTGTCATATTTATTAAGGTATCACAACACTTGGCTAGTACAACATACGAGCTTATGATTTCAGACTTTTATTGTTTTGTGTTTTTTTTATCATTTTAGGAACTGATAGTACTTTATTAGGTGAATTTATTGAAAGATTTATTGAGTTAGATTAAGGGGTGTTATTTTTATTATCAATAGTTTTTTAATACCTAGAATTATTTCTTAGAATTATTTGTTGCCTGTAGTATGTGACCATGGCCCAGTTAAATAATAGTATTAGCAGAGGTTATTAGGCAAGGTTAGAATACAATGTATAATAAATTATATATTTATGTATATAAATGCTATTTATTAGTATACTAACATATAATATATATACATATATATATATATATATATATATATATATATATATATATATATATATATATATATATATATATATATATATATATATTTTAGATTAACTATGTTTTTTAACAATTTATTTTAACAATTTAAATAAATTTAAGTTTTTTAGCAATCAATACAAGTTTTGTTCCTCTTGTTCTATTGCTGATTTGTGAACTATTATAAAAAAAAAGGCTTTATTGTGCATTAGATGGAAGTGTTGAAGTAAGGGCTATTGATCTTAACATAGCAAAGTCATAAAGTCTTATGATAAAGTCTGTCATGCTTCATCCATAAGCTCTCTTCATCATGTCATATATCTGATAAAGTTTCAAACTTATTGAATCTTTCATTTTTAATGCATTATTAGAGTTATCTTTGATGGATCCTTACTTATTTCCTTGGTCCTGTGTTTCTCATCTAAATTAACCTTTCATAAATTTTTACTTCTCAAGTGGCTCTATTCGCTAAAGACTCAACTATATATAGGGGGGGGGGGGGTCCAAAATTCTATATTTCTTGTTTAACCAGTTATTCTTAATTAATTTTTTGAGAAAAGTTTAAAAACAACTCAGTTTTTGCTAATTTTTTATGGTTGAGCTTCTACTTCTATTTTAAAAATTTAAAGATATAAAAAATAAAAGTATTTGCATAAGTTTCTTTGCGTATAAAGTTACGCAACTTTTCTTTCAAATTTATGCTATTCAAGTTTTGATTGGATAAATTTGATTTTTAACTGTTGCGTTTTAGAAAAAAAAAAGTTTTATCTGTAGTCTTTTTCTAAACAAATAAGTAAATAAGTAAAACAACAGATTGCTTCAAAAACTTTAAATAAGTAAAACAACAGATTGCTTCATAAAAAAAGTTTTATCTGAAGTCTTTTTCTAAACAAAACGTTTTAAGTAATCAAAAAGACAGATTGCTTCAAAATATCTTAATTTCCTTTTTTTTATTTTTTTTAATCGTTATTCAAGCTATCAAGAAGGCTATTCAAGATTCCATTTTTTATTTCACTTTTTGATGAAGTCAAGAATAAATCTTCTTTTAAAGTGCCAGTCAGTAAAAGTTGAGTTAAATTCTAAAGTTTTAACAATTCTAAAGATAAACAGGCTAAAGGAACACCGCTACCTAAAAGGCTTTAAAAAAAACAAACTGGGTGATCAAATTTTGAAATTTTCTGCTTTACTCTAAAACGCAGTGAATAGCTAGTTAAAAAAATTCTAGAAGCAGTCAATAAGTATACCTCAAAGAGGTTGAATGATTGTATCATTCTTGCTAGAGTAGTTTTGCAAAAGTTAGCCTCAGGACTTCAAAAAAGAGAAAAGTATTATGTGTTGGGTTGATCTTGGAATATGACTAGTATTAACTTTCTAATTAAGTTGTTGCAGTTGGAAAGCTTTGGAAAAAACCATTTAATTTCAACCGTAGATGTATACTTAATTATTTAAACCATATAAAAAATGAAGGTTTGCGCAGTTTAAAAATATTTTAGAAAACTATTGTCCAATTATTTGTCCAAAAAGTTGAAACTATGGAATATAGTTGAAACCAGCTACAAAAACAAATGGATAACAATAGAAAGGCAGCAAACTTTACATCAGGTGTGCAAGATGAGTTCTGTTTTAGCTTGCTTAAAGTTACAAGGCTGCCTATTTAGCTGTGAACTAGACATTATTGAAGTAATAAAGATATATTAAAATGAAAAAAAAGTTCGAAAAATGAGGTTCTTTATTTTAGGGATACAATGTAGGTCATTGTCGCGGAGGTCTATTCTGTTTAAATACACAATTGTTGATATAAAAATATAAACCTCCATCTTATGTCTGCCAAAGAACACGCTCAAAATCTAGATGTTCTATAAGGAAAGTCCACGCAGCAATCTCTATCACATATGATGACTTTTATAGTTATTTTTCATTTACAATAGTAAATAACAAACTGTATGAATTATTTTCATATATAATGCTTAATTTTTTTTGTTACTTATAAATGATAAGGTATATTATTGATAAATTAAACAGAAAAAGGTTTCTAGTTTTCTACTTTTCTTATATTTAATGATAATAATAGTTTCATCTATTTTTAACAATGCCTTTTTTGTCAATATATTCACTTTTATTAAAATCGAAGTAGAAGGCTAAATAATTGAAATGAAAAAAAATGATTATGATTTTCAGAATCAGCATGAAAAACTAATTAAGAAAAATTGGTTAAACTAAAAAATCTAAAAAAAGACGATTATGGACCCCCCCCCCCCCTACTATATAGTTCAGTTTTGACAAAGTTATCACTTTTTGATTGATTAGAACAGGTAGCTAGTCTTAAATTTGATCTCTCTTTTGTGACAGCTTTGGGTTTGCAGTAGCTGATGAGTTTATTAATAATAAGTAAAAAATAAAATAAAATCAGCAAAACCTTTGTTCGTTTTTCAAATTTTCAAAAAACATTGATGTTTGAAAGAAAAGTTGGCGAGGTCGGCTTTTTTCTATAAATTTTTTGCTGTACAATCACACATTTGTCGATTTGCAAAAACTGTTTTAAAATTTTATGTTTACCTGATGCAAACCTAAAACAGTTTTAGTTCAGCAATTTTTAATATGTGTGTGCGTTGTTGTGTGTGTGATGGTACACACACACAACAACACGCATGTATATGTTTGATTTTTTTAAAGCACAAGAGTGAATTGTAATTTTTGTGATTCTAGTCACAATCGGCTTTGTATACAATAAATCAGATCTTGTTAAGAAGCGCTACGCAGCTTACATTTTACGTACAAAATATATCAGGTCTTGATAAGAAGTGCTACGCAACTCACATTTTATGTACAAAATATATCAGGTCTTGTTAAGAAGTGCTACGCAACTCACATTTTATGTACAAAATATATCAGGTCTTGATAAGAAGCACTACGCAGCTCACATTTCATGTACAAAATATATCAGGTCTTGTTAAGAAGTGCTACGCAACTCACATTTTACGTACAAAATATATCAGGTCTTGTTAAGAAGTGCTACGCAGCTCATATTTTACATACAAAATGGCGTTTGCATATCCATTCAGCAGTTTTAGGTGAAGCAAAAAAAAAAAATTATTTTTAAATGTTTAAATTATCTTCTAATATCGCTCAAGTGATGTTTTTTTCAGTAAATATAAAGTCCTAAAAAAAGCATTTAACTGCAACTGTGATTTTTTTTTTGTTAAAGAAACTGATTATCTTGTATAAATTTTTTTTTTATTAAATGACTTTAAATTAAATATGGTTTTAATATTTTAAAAGTTAAATTTAGTTTTAAAGGTAATGTAATATATTGTAAGATATTTATATAATGTAAGATATTTAGTTAATCGTAGAATGTAAAATGCAGGTCCAAAGGAATGTAAAATATTTAGTTAATCGTAGAATGTTAAATTTAGGTCAAAAGGAATGTAAAATAGTTTTGCAATATTATTTAAAGAAAATTTTTTTTTATTATTATCTGTTTAGTTATGTAAAACATATCCCTCCATCATAGATTTCCATTTCATGGAAAAGCAAAAAAAAAGCTTTAATTTTTTTTTAAATAGGAGAAGTGTTTTTTATTAAGATAATTCTTTTCATTAATGTATTTAAAATTTTTTGTTTCTTTCTATTCAATATCCTGTAAAGTTTTTTTGACCTCAATTATTTGTGATTATAAATTATGCTTACAAATATCTTATTGGTAACTAATAAAAGTTATCTATGAAAAGTTGTATATAATCTTAAATATTAAATGTTGCATTATACATGTAAAAAAAAAAATGTTGCGATAAAGATTATTTTAAGTATAAGATTCTTTTAAAAATTATAAGGGAATATAATCTTTTTCAAATATCAAATTTAGGTTTCATCAGTAATTTTTATTATATTATTTTAAATGATTATTAGCGTCATTTAAAATTAAATTTTATTTTAATGCGGTACTTTAAAATAGGCTAATGACACAATTGAACTTTTATTTTAACAATTTAACATACAATAAAAATATCAAAGCTGCGTTAAAGTTACATTTATAAGCGTTAGGCGTTTTGTTATGCAATAAAATCTCATAACAAAACCTGATATATAATTTCAAAGTATATAATATATAATATTGAAATTTGATTATTGTTAATTTTATTATTACTTTATTTTATTTTTCATTCATTACTATTATTATTTACAGAGTAAGATGGAAGAATGTATAAAATGCTTGGTGCGATGTACTCATATGGTCAATTTGCTGGGAATTTTTAGTTCTAATGAAACAATAGATGAAGTTTCTACAGAAAATGTTAAGTTAGTAATAATATTGTTAATCTTCTGTATTTTGTTTATTGAACTTCTAAACATTTTGTTTTAAAATTCTTGATTTTTAGATTTTTTCTGTTACCTGCTTTTCTTGGTGATCTTTACATGAAAATTGTGACAACTGATAGAAAGACAGCAGTAAAAAGCTCTAAGGTTTGTATGAAGAGTTATACAATTCACATAATTGTGTTTATTTCTTTTTTTTTTTTTAATATTCAAATTGTATTCATATAATTATACAGGTGTACTTCCAAGACTTTTTGAAGAGGTGTCAAAATTATGGAGTAACAAAAATAGTATGTGCTTATTGTTTTTTCTTATGCTAAGACAAACCTGATTTTTCAAACTATTTATTCTTCTTTTAGTATCTCTTTATTATTATTATTTTTTTTTTCTTTAATGGATAAATTTCGATCAGAAAACATTTTTTGAAGAAAAATAATTTAAGTTATTAATTACTTTACTGTCAGATGTGTTAATTGGTTTGTTAACTGTAAACAATGTGTTAATTGGTTAATTTGGGATTCAAATTTTTTGAAACATTTTATAATTTAAAAATTTTTTATTACAAATGGTTAATCTTTTTTACATTTATTATTCTAGTTTATTTATATTTAAAAGTTTTCCTTTAATATTTTTGTAAATTACAATTATCAAATTTTTTAATGCTCTAAACAGAGTTGCTCTGATGTAAAAGATAAAAGAAACAACTATGATTAGAATATCATGGGGTACTGTAAGGCTTGATTTCAAAACAAAAGGGAAGTAAATGATTCTATGTTAGGCATACCGTTACCTGTTGACAGCCTTACCAAAAACCCTAACATTGTCACCATCTATGTGCAACATAGCACTGTTAATACTCTGAAATCTCTTAGAACACTACCATAGAGTCAACCTAAGAACCATTGTATCCTTATAAGAAGATAACTGAAAAAGTTGCATAGCCACTATCAAGAGAGCAGGTGCAAAAACTCATAGAGTTAAGAAAATAGAGTGTTTTAGACAGGGAAAAACGTAATCCAGATTTAGATGAAAATTGGTATAGTGATTAACAAAGTAAAGAAATTTTTCCATCAAAAACTTATTAACTAGTTATTTAGTAAAATAAATCTGATTAGTTGGTTGATATACATGTTGATTGAAATGTTTTGAAATCCAAAAATTATAGAATGTGTATTTTTTTAATGAAATTTGTTTTTTATTCTCATCATAATACTCTGATAGCTTTATGCAATCTCTCTAATGATTTTGTTTATACAATCTCTGTAATAATTTTGTTTAAAGCTCTGCACTGTTCCACTGTTTAAATAGATTTTTTATCTATCAAAAAAGTTCTTTCCACTAAGGTATGATAAAAATGATTAATGTTCAAGCAATTTGTTAATTTGTTCAATTTAACTATTGTCAAAACATTTTTTGAATTTATTTTCTTAATGAAAAAAATTTTTCTAGAAAATTTTTTATTCTATCTTTTTTTATTAAAATACTGCATTTGCTTTTGTTTTTTAAGATTTAAACTGAGTAGTTAATGTTTCTTTACTTTTTCTTGTATTAAAATCATTTATTAAATTTCTTTTCCTGAATTTTTTAACCATTTAATTTTTTAACCAATTGATTTATTTTTAATTGACTAATTTATTATAATTTATTACAATAACAGTAACAGTTTAAAAGTTGCGTACTACAATTTTGATTTAATTTTTATGTTTTGATCAGTTTTTTTTATTTCAAAGGACATACGCCCATATTTACAAACAGATGTTGAAGAACAAGTTAGTAATCAAAAACAAACTCGAGAAGAAAAAATTCAAAGATACAAAGAAAATGATAGTATAATAAAAAATATCAAGGTAAAACTTAGTTACTTAGTTTAAATAACATAAACGTTGTAGTTATGAATTTTTAAATAGCTAAATTTAAAGAACTAAATGTTATTAGTTAGCAATAGTTGTAAACATCTATTGTTTTTTATCTGTTTATCATTTTTACCTGTTTATCATCTGTTGTTTTGTTTTTTGTTGCTTTTTACTATTGTTGTTATTTCTCATTAAATATCTCTTGATATTTAAATTATAACTTAGTTGGTGCAATCTCTTTTGGAAAAGTCTCCACAAGCTGTTGATGATGATCAAGTGGTAGTTTTTTTATTAGTTTTTTTTTTTTTAATCATCTTTTTTTTAATTAGAAATTTTTAGGTTTCAAGAAATTAAAAAATTTTTTAATAGAGTTTATCATCGACCAATATTATTTCAAATCGATCAGTATTATTTCTAGAGAAAGTTTTACATGGATTGGCTACATCTATGGATAAACAAAGCAATTGAAAATATTCCTATGATAAAAAGTAAGGGTATTGGTTTAATTGGTAGATTTTATTAGCTTTGAGTTCTCATGTAAAGTTAAACTTTAAAGTAAATTTTTTTTTTTTTTTTCTTTTAAACATCTTTGTTTTCAACAAGGCTGCAAACAACCACTAATTAGTGTTGGAAGTTATTGGAAGAGAAAAGATGAAAATTGTAGAGCAAGATAACAATTGACAGATGACTTATAAGATTGCAAATTATATGAATCAGGAAAGCAAGATAAAGGAAGCGAATTCCAAACAGTGCGACCGTGGTGCAGTGGTTACAGCACTTGCTTTATAAGCAGGCGATCTAGGTTCGAAATGAGCTCTGGACATATTTTCGCGTCACAGTAAGGAAAGAGGCGTGAATTTCCTGGTTAAATGCACTTCCAGGGTGCTCTGTGACAAGACCATTAGGTATTCTTGGGGCACCTAAATAACAAAAAACAACAATTGATGTTCGAGGGAAAAAAATAGATGAGTAAGAGTTTTTGGAGCACTTACATACAGTAACAGAAAAAGGATGAGACTTAATTGAATGACAAGTAACATGAGAGTGAATTTTAGTAGATGGTACAAGAAACGCTAGCTCTTTAGACCAGTACATATTATAGTATTTGAAGAAAAGAGAAAGAGAAGCAACATTACGGCGATGTGATAATTGTTTAAGGTTGGCTGCAAGAGCAGGTCCAACTATGTTTACTATGCGCTTTTGCACCTTTTCTAAAAGAGAAAGGGCATCATTAGAAGATCCGCCCCAGATATGCCAACAGTATTCCATACAAGGTCGGATTTGAAATTTATAGAGATAGAGAATAGAATCCAGAGTAAGAAAGTGTTGAGCTCGATAAAGAGATGCAACTTTAACAGATGCTAATTTTGCAATGGATTTAATACATGGTTTCTAAGAAAAATCAGAAGTAAGAATTGATCCTAGAAGATGACTCATCAAGTACTTTACCATTCATAAATATAGGAAAATCTGAATTATTGCAATAACGATTAACTGAAAAAAATTTTTTATCTGAATTAAAGTTCACCAGCCACTGAGCCCCATGCTGTAGCAGAAGTGAGATCCTTTTCAAGCTCAAATGCCCCCTCCAAGCAATCAGAGAGAGTTGGCTTTTTATCATGACAAGAATAAATAATAGTATCATCAGCAAACAATGATGTGAACAAACCTTAGATGTGAGAATATCTGGAAGATTGTTAATGTAAATTAAAAAGAGTATAGGGCCAAGGATTGAACCTTGAGGAACTCCTGAGGTTACAGAATAAGAAGAAGAGTGCTGTCCATCAAGTAATTGTTGAGGAGTGTACCCTAAAAATTTCAATCAATTGCTTTAATATTTGAAAAAAAAAAAATTAAGTTTTATGCTATATCAAAGAAAACTATGTAAAAAAATACATTTAAAAAACGTATATTAATAATATGTTGCAAAAGTTAAATAAATAGAAATAATGGTTGCAAAAAATAGTGTTTATTGTAGGTAGTGGTAGTTTCAATATAGTTGACTAAAAAGACAAGAAATCCCTGTTTGCTAGGGGTATTGATATAGAAGCTAAAAAGACTGTACCTTATATAAATGAAGTTTATAATTGTGTGCGTGTGATTTAAATGTTGACTTGTACAAGAATATATATATATATATATATATATATATATATATATATATATATATATATATATATATATATATATATATATATATATATATATATATATATATATATATATATATAAACTAATTTAAAACATCAGGTAATATAAATTCTCTCAATACTTAATAGTTTATTTGAAATTTTTGCCGTATTATAGGCACCGGCATTATCAGCATATAATATAATATAATTACAAAAAATGTGACCTTTAAATAACAAGTCACCTTTATAATGGCTTCTTTTACTTAAGTATGAAAAAAAATGAAGTCCAGAAATTTGTTTCTACATATTGTCCATTGTCCAAATTCATACCACCGTACATTGGAGAACATTGATGTTTTTGTATCTCCAAGGCTTCATGGAATTTTTTTTCAAATTTTTTATTCTCAACTTTAAGTGTTTCTACTTTACCCCATTCAATCTCCTTATTGCAATTTACTTTATGCAAAGCTAATGCAGACTGGTTTAACTTGCCTTCAGTAAAAAAATTTTAGTGTTGTTGAACCCTTGTATTTGAAGTTTTGTTTCACCAACATACACTTTTCAACGAACTGTTCTTTGAAGTCCGGGAGATATTATTGGTATCCATGGTAATGAGATTGTATGAAGATTATTAGAGTTTGATAGAATTTCATTTTTATTCGCTAAACATTTTTTTCAATAAGAAATATCCATATTATAAAAATAGAATATGATAAGAAATATCTATATTATAAAAATAGAATGTAAAAGCTAAATTTTGTAAACAGAATTAATTTTTGTGTCGCATAGTCTTATTTAAAAATTTTACTTAATGTATGTTTATATATATATATATATATATATATATATATATATATATATATATATATATATATATATATATATATATATATATATATATATATATATATATATATATATATATATATATATATATCGGCTATATAAGATTATTATTTAATATTTATAAATATGTATAATGTGTATTAATATGCAATAATGTAAACACTCTTTTTACTTTTAGATCTTTACCATATAACTAATAACTAAAAATGTAAAATCAAGAACTCATGAATAAAGAATAATGCAATTGTTTAAATTGCATTTTTCTTTATTCACGAGAACACTAGGTTTAATCATTATATGTGATGTCAAAAGCACATCGATGAAACAATGTTTCATCAATGAGTTAGAGTTAGAGTCTGGCAAATTTCATGTTGGGTTTTTACTCTTACTAACAATTTAAACATATGATAGAATAAAAAATATTTAAAGAATAACTAACAAATGTTTAAGACTTTTCATATATTTATAATTTGAAATATGACAATGTTATACGTCACAAAAATTTTTGAAATTTGTATATAATTTTGGTTTATTTGAGATTCAAAATAACATACTTTTGAAAAACTTTTTTTTTATATAATATAAGGGACCTGTCTGATGTTTAAGGGTCTTGTGGCATTTTCAAAAAAAGTTGTTTTTAGCACCACCCTAATATAAATATATATATATATATATATATATATATATATATATATATATATATATATATATATATATATATATATATATATATATATATATCTGTGTATATATATATATATATATATATATATATATATATATATATATATATATATATATATATATATATATATATATATATATATATATATATATATCTGTATATATATATATATATATATATACAGAGAGAGAGAGAGAGAGCAAAATAATAATGTATAGCATTATATGGGAGTATATATTGACAAAATACAAGACTTAAATAGTATGTTTCTGTAATTAATGTGGAAAGATACATTTATAACTTGGAACTTGGAAGCAACATTTTCACACTCATATAAAGTCTCTAGTTCAGTAATGACTTACAAAATAGCAAAAATAACTTAAGATCTACTTAAATATGATTGACTTATAATTGACAACACTTACATTCAGCAATGAATTATTCAGTTGTATTTAATATGAGTAGTTGAAACAAGATATGTATGTTGATTAGTTCTATATTTGAGTTGAGCAATTTTAAACAAGTTTTCGTTTCCTTAAGGTTTTTAAATTGTTTTGCTCGAGGGTGCAGTAGTTTTTATTAAAATCAAAACTATTATTTGGTTATTTGTTTTTTGACTGATCGCATATATGTAAATATCCCAGTTTGTTGAGTTTAAAATATTATAAATTTATTGTTAGGTGAAATGTTAATACTAAAGCATATGAAGCAAATAAAGCAAGGAAAAGTAGAACCAACTCCTCCAAGAAAAGAAAGAATGGTTATTATTTTTACTGCTATATTGTTGTTGTGATTTTCAAGGAAGAAATCTTCCACTGCAGTTTAATGTATATAGAGTATACGTTATGTTGTGTCATGAATTCAAAGTTGTTTATTGCAAATACTTAAATTTTCTTTTTTTTTTTTAATTTTTGAACATTTAATCTAAGCACTAGCATGAGCGCAACTCGCTTAATTTCCATAATGCAATAAAATTTGATATTTAGATAAAAAAAAAAGCCAGAGCGCTTAATTACGAATGGATATTTAGCTCGGTAATTCTGATGCTATCATTTTTTTTAGAGGGAATTGCTGGGCAATTTTTTTATGAATTGATTTTTATAGAAAAATTGAGAGCGATTTGATGCTATATCTCATAATTAAAAAAATTGCTTTCCTGCGAACCACCAATGCTTAATTTAAACACAAAGTGTTCAGATGTTGTATAATTAATTAAATTTGTTTTCAAAGAAGGTTTTTTATTATTTTAATAAGCTTTTCTTAATTTTTGTTAATAAATCAACATATAATTTTGAATTTATTATTTTGTGTTTATTACTTTTGTTTAAATAATCTCTTACTACATTTATTATTTAATTAATTATTATTATTATTAATTATTATTTAATTTTGCTGTTATTACATATATCTATTACAGTATATTAAATTTATTACTGGTAAACTTTTTTACTTTTTTTCAGCCGATGAAACCTATACTTATAACAAGAGATATGATCAAGGTTGAATTTTAGTTTGTTAAAAAAATGTTTTGTATATAAATAATTGATTAGAATATAATTTTGCTTTAGTGGCTTACATTGTCCAATCGATAGTATTATTCCTCCAATTCACAATTTTGTGCATTTCGTTTTATAGGCATTTTTCTTATCACCTGATAACTTTTACACCTTATACTTCATATAACCCTTAATTCATAATACTTTCAATACTGACTAATAAATACTGTGAAAAAATTCTCTTTCCATTGCCTATACACCTTTACACCTTTTTTTACACCACCATTAATGTTATTGCTTTATTTTTTATTGCTTCTTTATTCACTGTTCATTTTTCTAAATCTTGTAAATTATATATGTTTTACAATTTTTTTTTACATAATTTAATCTATTTATAATCATTTTACAATTCAAAGTTTGTTATAGTTGGTTAAGTAATAAGATTTTTTTGTTTTTTTTTATTCTTTTTTTTTCTCCTTTAGTTCGAATTCTAGTTTTGAAAATCACAACAGTTCTATGATTTCTAAAATTTTCTTGTTTAAAAGAAAAACCGCCATTATGATTGTTTTAGTTAGTAGGAGATGAGTAATTGCACAATTTATATTGAGAGAAAAACATTAAATAGATAAATAACTTTTATAGAATAGTGTGTTGGGTTATGGATACAAAAATTTACCAGAAATGACAATAGAAGAATGCATTGAAAAAGAAATTAAAGAAGGAAAGATACTTTTAGAATACAAGTAATTTTATATTTTGCATTATAAAAGTATAAATTAACTTTTGTAAATTAAACTTTACCAACTTTTGTTAATTTTAATTTTTTTATTTTACAAATGAAACTTTTTGATCAAATTTTTTATTTTTCTCATGGTTTATTTTTAACATGACAAGTTTAAAGATGGTTAATTTTAACATATTGAATTTAAACAGGGTTTATTTTTAACATGATAGATTTAAACACAGTTTAATTTTAACGATTTAATCAGAAAGAAGGATCTCTAAAACCAAAAAAAAATTGTTTAAATATTTTTTAATTAATTTGAATATATTATTTGAATATAAAATTTATGCATGAAGTGGTGAAGGGGGAGATAATAAACTTTGAATGCTATTTGATTTTTTTGGTTTTAGTAAAAGTAAACTAAATCGACCAGAAAAAAAAGATTCTGATGAAGAAGAAGATGAAGAAGAACTTGCTCATAAAAGAGCATGGGATGAATGGAAAGATAGTAAGTTTTTTTTCACTAATTTATTTGGCAACCAGATGCAAACAGAGACAGAAAAAATGCTGAAACCTAAGAAACTCATTTATGGGGGAATATATTGACAAAGTACGAGAGATTTAATACTTTGACTCTTTGTTTCTGTAAATAATGTGGAAAGATACATTTATCAATTTATAAATCTGTATTTTTAAATAAAACTATAGATTACTTCAAGAAAAAGGTCTTTACGTCAGGGGTGGCCACAACTTTTTTGATGAGGGCCAAAGTTAACTTTTTGTATGTTAACTGGAGGCCACAAGCTGCCATAATCTGTTGTAATTGAAATTAATCTGTTTTAAGTCAAGTTATGCTTTTTTAAATCTTTCTTAATGGCCAACAAAGTGTGTTCCCCCCTTTTCTCTGCCTTGGATTCTTGGATTTTACCATGTTGTTGTTGGATGGCGTCATGCATATAATAGACGTCAAGTAGCTCTTCAGTAACACGAATATCTTTATCAATACGATTAAAAATAGTCATTTGAGCAGTTTGTGATATATTGCTTGATTCATCAAAGTCCATAGGATATTATTGAAACGCTTTTATTCTTTGAGCCGATGACAAACTCAGGTCATCAGCAATATTTTCTTCGTGCAATTGTCTTGAGAGGGAAAATTTTTTTCAATTTTTCAGTGCAAATATTTTTAAACATAATTTTAAGAGATTCTTTAATTATTTCCCCCTCACTGAGTGATTTATAACTTTTAAAGAAGACTCACTTCATAACTTGCAACAGCAGTATTTTCTGTTTTTTTGTTTTTGTTTTTTTCATTTTTTGCTTCTTTTTTTTCCACACCTCGTTGACAAACTGATTTGAAGTTTTTGAATGCTTTGAATCTTAGTCCCTCCTTAATTTATATTCATTGCACAGTGAAACAGATTCATTCTATATTAAACATAGTGGCACCGCATTAAATTCAATAAAAGTGTTTTTCACTCGCTGTTAAATACTCGACATTTCTTGTCGATTTCTCGATGTTTCGATGCTTGAATAAATAATGCATTAAAATTAAATGATGCAAAAAGTTGAAGTACACACAGTTTAATCAGTTAACTTATGAGCTAATTTTTAACAAACGTTGCCACAGAATTTTCAACTGCCTTATATGTTTATATAATTAATTTAACTTATATATTTGTAACAAAATAATTAGATACTATCATTTAAAAAATGTTACTAAAACAAACTGATGGATATTAGCGATGGCAGCAACTACTATCGTGAGTAATAATTTTTTAAAAGCTCTGGAGCAAATGTTAAACAAATTATTACAGTGGATACCATGTTACTACATGTAAATGTTGTTACCATGGATACCGTTCTTGCTACATGTTGGCTAACTAGCAGGGTGGAGCGGTTTCAACATTTTTTTTAATTAGGTTTGCCTGTGTTGCGAATCGTTGTCTTATAGTAAAAAAGTGCCTTTTTTTAAAAAAAATGAGTTCTTGAGGCCTCTAGAAACAAATATTGTTGACAAATTTTAACTGAATTTTTTTTCTAAACTATGTCACCCTGATACTCAAAAGACGCATTACATAATGTTGGTTTTAAAAATATTGATTTTATTTTATAAATATTTTTCGTTAAAATTTAATATTGAAGATGTATTAAAAGTTAATGCTCTTTTGCAAATTATATAGAAAACGGAAATTATTAGCGAAAAAAATATATATTCTTTATTTTAATTTTTATAAAATCCTGCATCTTTTGAGTCTTTTGAATACATAGTTCTGAAAAATTTTTTTTTACTAATATACTAACCTATCAAAAATTTTTGGGTCCGAGAGGAACTTCAAGAACTCCTTTAAATCTACAAATATTTTTTTATCACAAATAAAACACCATTCTTTTTTTTAGCTTTTTGATAAAAAAAAAAAAAAAAAAAAAAAAAAACGAGCCTCAAATTTTTATGAAGTGCGAAAGCCCTTTGATTCGACTAGCATTTAGTATGTTTATTGTAGATTTATCCATTCTCCACTATACTCGTGTTATTCTCCACTATACTCGTGATAATTATAATAAAGTAATAATACCTGGATATATTTTTTCTAGCTCACAGACGAGGCGAAGGAAATAAAGATCGACATGGATAGATATGGTGCTTCTGTTTTAACAAACATTAAATCTCAGCAAATTCTTTGATTTTGAAGATATTTTTAATTAAGTAAAAATCGGAAATTATTTATTTTCATATAAACTGTACCGGTACTAGCTTATCGTTTTGTTTGTTATTTGGATTTCTGAAAAGAAGCGGGCGGCTGCCCTACTCGCCCTTTTCTTTTAATCTAGAAGATAATAAATTCGGTAGTTGTTGAGAAGAGAACTTTTATTATAAATTGTAGTGATGCAAGTTTAAGAGAAACTTTTTGCAAAAAATATTTATACTTTTCATTATTCTTTGAAAATATTTTTCTTAATTATTTACCTTTAACTTTAATATCTTTAAAATATTTTTATTAATTATTTATCTTTAATATCTTTAAAATATTTTTGTTAATTATTTATCTTTAACTTTAATATCATTAAAATGTTTTCATGAAAATATTTTTATTATGTTTACTCTAAAGATTCTGATAAAGTTACGTTTAATTATTTTGATCTTTTTTTTTTTTTCAAAATTGAAAAACAACGTTAATCAATCTTGGTACTTTGTTTTTTGTTCACGTTCAAAAAAGCACGATGGTCAACTTATAAATACTTTCAGTTATCTGTTTTTTAAAATGTTGACTGCGTTGATCAAAGAAGACAAAACAAAACTGCGACGCGATTCTTGACCATTTAAATACAATGTCATGGTTTCCTAACCATTGAAATATCTGTTATAATATATTTTTTAAATATATATGTATAGAAAATATTAGACAACGTGTTTTTCTGTTTTTTTTTTTTGTTTTTTTTTTAAGTGACAATTGTTGATTTGTAAATAGTTCTTGTTAATATTTGATTAAAACATTTGGTTGATATTTTAATCAAAACATTAAAGTTTCAGTTTAGAAATAAAATTTATTTTTGAATATATGCTCATAAGCTTGTTTATTACAATCCGTTGCGCCCCGTTTCTCTCCAAACAACCTAACATTCTTTACACATTTATTCTATCTTTGCTCATCACACTTATTAAGGCCTCCCTCCCTTCCGTTACAAGAATTATATATTTTTCAATAAGTACAATTTTCTTTTATTTGGTGCTTGAATGCAGCTATTTTTAGGAACCAGAAAAAGATTTTTCTTTTAAAAAAAAGTTGTTGCAAAAGCTTTAACTGTATTCCTTTTTTAATTAACTTTCATCCTTTCACAAAACGACAGTTTTATTATAGTAATTGATAGTTTTAGTTCCCTCTAAACACCTAAAAATAGAGAGTTTTAGTTCCCTCTAAACACCTAAAAATAGAGAGTTTTAGTTCCCTCTAAACACCTTAAAATAGATAGTTTTAGTTCCCTCTAAACACCTAAAAATAGATAGTTTTAGTTCCCCCTAAACACCTAAAAAGTAACTTCAAAAAATAAAGTTTTGATAAACCCACCGCGTCAGAAAAAAATTTCATAAAACGATATCAAAGAAGGAAAACCGAAAAATAAAAACTTTCAACCATTTTGCACGTACAAATTTTGCAGTTTTAGTGGCTGTTTTAAGCTTATTCTCATTTATTTACAAAAAAACAAAAAAAAGTTATGCATTCTTTGCAACTTATCTATCTTATGACTGATTAAACATATTAAATAAAAAATCATATATCCTCTTTTGGTGGAGTTAGTCTTTTGATTACTCTAGCTGGCACTCCAGCAACCACACAATATGATTCGATATTTTTAGTAACCACGCTACCAGCGCCAACTGTAACACCATCACCAATAGTTATTCCGGGACAAATGATTACATTACCACCAATCCAGCAATCACGACCAATTGAAATGGGCTTTCCAAATTCACTCGATCGTCTCTCGGTAGGATCTATTGGGTGCCCCGCAGTATAAACTTGAACTCCAGGTGCTAGAAGAGTATTTTTTCCTATTCTAACTTCGCCTACATCTAAAAAAACGCAATTGTAATTCATGTAAACTCCCTCTTCCAAATGGATATTTGATCCGTAATCGCAACGAAACGGTGTTTCAATAATATTGTTCTTAAAAGTACCTAGCAGCTCTGTAAATAATTCATTTTTAAGTTTTTGATTTTCTGGATCTAAGTTATTTATTTTATGACACATAACTTTGGCAAAAAGCCGTCCATTAACTAACTCGGGAACAAGAGCGTTGTATGGGATAGAACTGACCATTTTCTCAACATCGTTGTATTCTGATATATCCTTTTTGTTGAGCTGCTCTGGAGAGGGCACAATCAGCTTTACCGGCGACGAATTTTCCGTGTGAACAGTGGAGTACATCTTTAAATATTACTTTTAATTTACTTTGCTGTTTAAAAACTTCAATAAAGATTAAAAAATATTTTTAATTTGAATGCAGAAACGTTGTAGTTCTATCACAAAGTACGTTTTTAAATATAAATGTTTTGAATGAAAGTATATAATCGCAAAACAAAAGTCTTATTTGTAAGTGATTTGATATAGTTAAGTCTGTTGTGTAACATAATGCGCTTGTCAAATACCACGTGTAAAATATTAAGATGTACTGTGTAAACAACTTCGTAATACAACTTGTATTACAAGCTACATTGAGTATTCTACATTTAAGTTCATTTTATGTTAATTCATGCAGCACAATAAAAAATAAAATTTTTGCAGTACCTTGGGAATATTTTTTTCGTTTTGATACTTGAAAAAAATATTATAAATATATAGTTATTTTTTATTGAAACACTATTAATAAAAACTTTATAATAAAAATCTCAGTTTAATTTCACTGTTTACAGAGACCGTAGCGCAACTTTTTTTAACATTAATTTAACGCGATTGCATCTCGTGTTTAATGTTACTTATCAGGGCAGGACAAAGTGGGTTTTTCGGGTTTTGGGTCTTTTGGATTTTTTTTAAAAAACCCAATGCAATAGAAGTTCTGTGTTTTTTGGCTTTTTTATTTTTACAATTTATGTTTTGAAAACTATTATTATGACATTTTTTGCTAAAATTTTAATATCTTAAACAATTTCGTTATATTCATTAAATTTTCTGGAAATCTCCATATTATGATGGTTTTTTTTGTTTTTGTTTTGTTTTGTTTTGTTTTTTTTTACATTTATTTTGCTGTTTAACAATAAACAATCAAACAAATATATATATATATATATACAAGAAGGAAAAAAATATGTCCGTAGAACAAAGAAGACAGTAAAATTTTGTCAACAAGCACCGTTTTTCTATATAAGTATAAAATAAACACTATTCTTTTTACAATGATCTTTATAAAATAAAGAGTTAAACAGACAGGGGCTTAAAGAAGATGAAGATGACAATCATCGCAATCTTTTCATAGAGCCCCTATATACACTTTCCATAGAATCTAGGTATTAAATTAAAAACCCTAATGGGCATAAAGCTGCTGCGCTGATCAGTAAATCAAATAAAGATAAAATATAAAAAAATAAGAAAATAAATAAAATTTCTTGGTGATTCCTTTAAGCACAAAAGATTCTCAAATTTTAAAAATTTCTTTTTTTAATAGAAACTTAAATGAACTTAATGACTTTGCCATACATTTAAATCCTTTCTGATAACTATTCCATATATTTGGTCCTCGATATGCAATGCTTTATTCAGTATATTTATTAATGTTTTAAAGCAGTTTATATGTGTTACTTATATTTGCTCTTAGATAATAGTTTTCATTTATGTTTATTTCAAACTTGTTATTAAAGTTTGCAGGAGAGATATTATTATTGAGTTGATACATAAAAATTAAACGCTGATTGATATTTATTTCAAAAACATCCATCATTTTCATTATCTTTCATTATATTCATTACATTATATATTGTCATGCAGTCATTAATATTTTTTTTATTTTTGATAATGATTTCTGGCATATAAAAATAAAATCCACAAAACCCACTTTCTGAAATAATAAAAAATGAGTTCTGTTACTTATACGTAATTGTATACTTATTTATATTTTAAACTTAAAATATCACTAAAAAAACTATAAATAAATTATATTTAATTAAAATTTTAAAAATCTGAAAATTTTACTTAATTTAAAAATGTTATATTTAATCCTACCAATGGCCCCCATAAATGGAAGGGCAGTTGGTAGTCTAGCACTAGGGCCCGGAGGTAAAGGGGAACCGGCAAATAAATCATTACACACCTAAAGGTATATCAAAACGCACACTTTTATGTAAAAGCTTAACATTTGAATTTATTCTCAAACTGCAATTTATTGAATCGTTGTGTAAAATATTTCCCGCGTTTTTCTCACAGTTTTTACTAGGTTATTAAACTGTTAAACATAATTTGGTCAGTAATCTTAAAGTGAATAAGTCTTTAAAACCTTTTAGTCTATTTAAAGTGGCTCTACTCATGAAAAATGAATTTTGAAAAATTGAAAAATTAATTTTGAAAAATTGATAACTTGAGTTTTAAATTTAAAACAAAACTTTTTCACAGCAAAAATTTCTACAGAGATTTTTGTTTTAAAAAAGATTTTTAAATGTTTTAAATAAATTTATATACATGATAAATTTTAAATATTTAGTTAAATAAATACAAAAATGACTTAGATTTTGAAAGTTAAAGCGGTTTCTTAAATAAGAAATTATTTATGAGTTTTTTGGTTTTCTACCTTTTTTTTATCTGCTAAAGAAATTATGTTTTGTTTTTCTGTATGCACAACCATTAAAAAAACGAGGGAGTGGGAGGGGGTCTGCAGAAGGGCTCCAGCATAGGCCCCGTTTCAGGATGTGATCCTACCTATCCTAAAGAAAGGAGATCATTTATACTATATCCTTTATATTAAGAAAACCTTTCTTCTAATATATATTTTTAAATTTTATTATTATTTAGGGGTTGCCCATAAAATACGTCACGCTTAAGGGGAAGGGGGTAGGGTAATGTTTTTCTGACAACTTGTTACAAAACTTGTTACTAAAGAGTTACAATGTTGTGACGAGGAGGGGAGGAGGTCTAAAACTGTCAAAAATTGCGTGACGTAGATTGTGGACGACCCCTTAGTATGTAAGTGCTTTTGGTTAAAAAAAATGTCCTTTGCATTAAGATCAAGTTCTCTAAAGCACAATCAATAAATATATATAATTATATATATAAGCGTCACGCTTATATTAAATAGAAATATGTATTAACGTGTTGCTTTGTTTACATTCTAAAGCGTGTGCGTAAAAAATGACATTCAAAACCTTTAAGCTAATCCAAATAAAAATAAGTATACGTAAATATTACAACATCTGTTAATTCTTCTCCATGTAATATAAATTTTAAAGAGGAGGATAAAAGAAATAGCAAAAATAAATTTTTTTATTAGTTTTTTTTAATTTTTTAATAAAACTATTTTTTTTCAAATCAAAATCAAATTTTCGATAACTTTATTTTGTGCGTGTTACAGGTAAGTTAACAAAAGTTTAATAAAAAAGTAAATTGATTTCTAGTGAGAATTTTTAAAATAAATTTCCAAATTAACAGGGTATACTATTCAATTATCACATCTTTCATCGATCTTGTTAAGTTACAAAAATAAAACGAGACTTATTTCAAAATTTACATAAATTAGCATAAAAAGCGTATTTAAAATTTTTAGTTGCGGATAAAACAAAGAGCCGTAATGAAAATGAGCTTAACTTTACATATTGGTTACTATTGGTTACTGATCATTTTGAGCAATTGCTTTTTAACAAAAAAAAAAATGCCAAGATAAAAAACAAAGACAAAAAAAATTCTAATGAAATCTTCATAACAAAATCAATATAATATATAAAATTTGACAAAAGTTAAAAAAAAAAAAAAAAAAAAAAAAAAAAAAAAAAACGCTTGTTGGAAAATCCACAAGATTGGACTGCATCTGTTTATAAAGCGGAATACAATGTAAATATTGATAAACTCCTACAATTTCTAAAAAATAAAATAATACAATATTCTGAAATTGTTTGCTTTATTTCAACAGAATCTAAGTTTAAAATAGGGAGTATTGCAAAATGTAAACTTTTGAATGCAATGTCTTTACAACATACAAGTATTACATTTATGTTTTTTATGGGTTAAAAAGTTTAATTAAATGCGAAAAAAGCAAATATATTTTTTTCAATGATATATTATATAAACTAGATGTCTAACTTGAGGGATTTTATTGAACGAAAAATGAAGATGCTTATTTTTGTTTATAAATATAGTCCGCTATTTGTAAAAAGGGCAAAAGTTTACATAAATAGTATTCATATTTAAAATATTTACTTCATTTAAAAAAAGAGAAGTTAAACAATTATTGTATACAAATTTAATCCTCCATTTGTAAAAAGGGCTAAAGCGGCTTCACTTTTCGGATCGAAGTTAGACTATGAACTAGGGTGGAATGCAAGAAGCGAACTTAAGTCAAGCTCGACTTGAACATTGCAACCAATAGCGTATGGTTTTTCCCCTCAAAAAATACTATGCCGCTATTGGTTACAAAGTAAAGTTCAAGTCGAACTTGACTCAAGTTTGCTTCTTGCATTCCACCCTAGATGTTCATAGTCTAACTTTGATCGATTACATGAACTAGGTTGAACGATTACATGAACTAGATGATTACAATGATTATGAACGATTAGATGAACTAGATGATTACATGAACTAGATCGATTACATGAACTTACATGAACTAGGTATCATTGATTTTTTTAAAATAAGTTTAGTGTTGCGTAATTTATTGTCTATCCCTTAGAATTGATTTCGTTTGTTACGATTCGATTGTTATCAAATTTTTATAACCGTTTTTATAATCTTCAGAAAAGTTAAATAATTAACACGTGCGCTTTTGTGACTCTAAACAATGGCTTTGTAAGCATAATAAACATTGCAGATTTTGCAATTTCTTTATCAATTTTTTGATGCAAAATTAATGACTAAAACAAATCAAAAAAATCTATTTAAATTTTTGAACCAACAAATCCAGCTGCGCTGCTTAAGAGATGGATTTGGAACATTTTGCACTACCTTAAAAAGTTAAAAAAATGTTCCCTTGGGGATCGTCGATAAATAACACAACTCTAAATTTTACTAATAAACAAAACAAAATAGATCAAAACAACGACGAGTAACTTTTCATGAATTTTGCTATAGTTTACACCAATTGGAAACACAACTTTTAACAATCGTTGTAATAGTATCGACTTTGTTTTACGTGATTTATGCAAAGCCGCCGAGACCTTTCATGACGCCCGGGGCATAGCAGCAATCAAGTGCCCTTAAAACCATGCGTATCTGAAAAAAATTAAATTAATAGCATGTCCAATCATACAAGTTAAGTAATGTGTTTTTTTTATACTGTTATTTTACATTCATAATTTCTGGAAACCAATCTGAAATAAAAAACTCTTATTCAACACACTGGTTTAGATTAATATATTAATTCTTTGAAATTAGTATTGAAAATAATTTTTTCTTGATTTTTTACTAGCAAAAACTATGATTTTTATTGTTATGTCATCTTACGACAGAGATGTATTCAATTCAATTTTAACATGTTTGTCCGATAAGTCAAAATACATACTAACACATAGGTTCACATTATCCCGCCTGACTATGT